TAGATAGATAGATAGATAGATAGATAGATAGATAGATAGATAGATAGATAGATAGATAGATAGATAGATAGATAGATAGATAGAAGGATGGGTAGGTAGATAGAAGGGTGGGTAGGGAGGTAGGTGGATGGATAGAAGGATGGATAGGTAGGTGGATAGGTAGTTAGGGTAGAGGGTAGATAGCTAGGTAGGTGGATGGATGGATAGAAGGATAGGTAGGTAGGGAGGTAGGGAGGGAGGTAGGTAGGTAGGTAGGTAGGTAGGTAGGTAGGTAGGTAGGTAGGTGGATGGATGGATAGAAGGATGGGTAGGTATGTAGGTAGGTAGGTGGATGGATAAAAGGATGGGTAGGTAGGGAGGTAGGTGGATGGATGGATAGAAGGATAGGTAGGTAGGTAGGTAGGTAGGTAGGTAGGTAGGTAGGTAGGTAGGTAGGTAGGTAGGTTGGTTGGTTGGTTGGTTGGTTGGTTGGTTGGTGGGTAGGTAGGAAGGTAGGTGGATGGATAGAAGCATGGGTAGGTAGATGGTAGAGAGGTAGAGGGATGGATAGAAGGATTGGTAGGGAGGTCGGTGGATGAATGAATGGATGGATGGATGAATAGCACCAGTGTACCAAATGGTGTGTATAAGTATTTTTTTTTTAAACGCCTCATTTTTCCCTGGTCCAAGAACTGAGTTTATCCACCCCCGCTCCAGGCCCCGGACAGCAAGTACCAAACCCTGCTGAATTAATCCATGTGTTCATTTCCCGTCCCTTCCTCAGGTATTGTTCGTGAGATGGCCCACAAATCGGACAGCAAGCTGAGATCCATCTCCACCACGCGGCTGTCCCCCCAGCACCACCTCTGGTGAGCGCCCCACTTTCTTTCAAACCAATGGCTGCAGCGAAAGGAAAAGAGGGGGAGAAAAAAAACAATGAAAAAAAACAACAAACCTCTTTGATTTTTATTTGTGTAGATGCTGAAAGATGTGGTCTGAACAGTGTCGCGCAGATTTGTTTGCGGTCAGGGTTGGTGTAGGTTGAAGGGCGCTGCAGCTGTGGAAGTTCTAACGCTGCACATTTTCTCGCACATCTTTAGCTGATTACAATCAGCTTTTTTTAGCCTTCGTTTTTTGTAAAACTCCCCCGCTAAATTAGCTGGTAAACCGCATCTTAATTGGTTACATGTGCCGCTCGGCAAATTGCGAAGCATGCACACCCCCCCACCCCACCCCACGCCCGTTCAGTGTGTTATCGCCACCAGTAGTTTTTGTCCCTCTTATTAATTGCGCGTATTTCCGCCCGACCCTAGGAGATGGCAGTTCTCTGTAGGCCCTCGCTAAAAAAAAACAAAAAAACGTGGTATTCTAATGAAAAGAAGAGGTTCGAAATGTTCCAATTGGGGGGGCGGAGGGGGGATGTGCAGGAAACATGCGGCGAATACGCAAACAATCAAGTTCGTCCTAGTTTTTGAAGGGCTCTTAAAAGAAGGGGGGTGAAAGCGCGTTGTCCATTTGGAGGAATTTAAACAAACACCGGCTTCCATTGAAGTCGGGAGACAAATCCCCCGTGACAGTCGCAAACCCGGGACCAGAAGAACAGATCAGCGTGTCCATGTGCAAACCAACAACAGAGCCTCGAGTCCTTCCAGTGGATCATCTGGCCTCGCATTCCTCAACTCAATAATCAAAAACCAAATACAAAATCAAAGCCGCCCCCTTTCGTGTGTTCCGAGGCAGCTACCCACACGCTGACACCGTTTGCGCAATACAAGTTGTTTTTCAGTCCGTATTGCGTCAATTGGCCCCCCCCAAATGAGCCCCCTTCCACCTGACGCTTCAGCCACCTGCAATGTTTATCTACGTAAAACAACGACCGATTTGGCTAAACGAGTGTTTTTTTTCCTTTTGATCTCCAGGCCTTTGGTGTGCGAAGACATCCAAGCAGATGTGGAGGACGGACAGCTGCAGTTCTTCTACATCCTGGCGTTCGTCCTGCAAGGTGACAGTTCTACCTCTCCTCCGACGATCAAGGATTTTCTTTCTCTGTTATCAGGGAGAAAAATCTGCCCCTCGCCCCCGTCTGCCTCATTTACAACATGTTTATCTGCTTTCGGCCGCATGACATTTCAAGACTCGGCTTGTCTTGCAAAGTTCGACAGGGGGGGAAGAGATAAAAAAAAAAAAGATCTTATACGTCTCTAGCAGCCTCATACATCCGATAGGTCCAAAGGTATTTTTTTAAGGTGTTCTCGGGTGAACTAATGATGCAATCGCCTCGCACCGGCAGAAAAAGAGGAGATAAAGTTTTAAGTTTGTGAGACAAACCGAGGAAACTTTGGTTGTCTTATGACAGAGGCTCATAGGATTGTTTCGACCGGCAGATCAAAGCCCCCTTTTTTTTCCCGAGCTATCTGGTAGATTGGGCTGCACCTGCTCAAATGTGGCCTCAATGAAGTGATCAAAGGTGGGGGAAAAAAATAAATAAATACTTTCCTGCATTCTCACACGCATTTTGGAAACAGGTTTTATGGACCGATGAGGTCAGCGTCAGTCTTTTTTTTTTTTTTGGGCCGCCTTGAGCCGAGTTAAAAAAATCAAAAACAAAACAACTTTTCAACTGTTAGGCATTAAGGTTGATAAGAGGGGGGATATTAAATGCCGCTCTTTCTCGAGGTTTCTCATGCTAAGGGAGGAAATCGAATACTTTAAACTCCGAATGGTTAAGCGGAAGGTTTTATGCCAGTATCCTGATTGTCGTGACGCATAAACATCACCACGTCTTAGACATTAACGGGTACTTTTTGATTTCACCTATCAGTTAAGAACAACAGCACAAAATGGCACAGAAAAAATCCCTCCTTCGGATATCTAAAGGAAGCATTTTGATAAAAGCACGGCTGGCCCAGGGTAACAAAGTAAAAAGGACGCAATTATTTGGAAGAAAATATATATTTTTCTTTAAAAACAGGAGGCGGGCGGACGTCAACAAACCGCGTGGACCTTCGCCAAGAGGGAGGAAAAAAAAAAATGGAATTAAAAAGGTTCAGCCATGTCCTGTTTAGACTCGGCGCGTTGACAGATGACTGTATTTTCAGGCATGCGGTCGGGACCTAACGCAACATCTGCGCGCGCTACAGTAGAAACACTTTACAGCCCGGGGGTTGCTTCAGGCTACACACGCACACACACAGCTGTGTGCGTCGGGCGGAATTTCAACCGGACCAATCTCGGCGTGTCCGGATCTGCCTTTTTTTTTCATCCTCATTCCCCCCTCAACTTTTGTATCTATTTCGGACAAGAAATCCGACACTGAGACAATGCAAAAGGAGACCCATATCTGCTGCCTATGGCGCGGGATGGTATCTTCAGGCTTAAGAAACAGTGCAAGCTATTATGTAAGAAGCATGTAACTCAGAGTTTGTGTATCTTCGCGGAGCTTTCCCCCCCCCCGAGATTATTTTCCGTCAAGTTGAATTTCACGGTAGTTTTCAAGGCAGTTCAGACAGGAGTTCCCCGCTTAACCTTTCCGACTGTTGCTCCTCAGGATAGATACTCGGTATTCTCTTTTTTTGTTTTTCCCCTTTAAAAAGCCACAGTCCCAAAACATTCCCAGCCCAAATATGTTCCCCCCTCGTTTCCGAACAACGAAACCATCACATTAAAAGGTTTGAGGCCAAATTTGACAAAAAAAAAGCCCGGAAAAAACTAAAAAAAACCCCAGAAATCCTACAGGAAAAACTAAAAGTGGAGGATATCTCTGGTCCCGAAAAGGTGGATTTCTTGGTTTATATTTTGCAAAGCTGAAAATGGAAAGTGGACGCCGCCACGACTCATCTCCAATTCATGGCTTACTGCAAAGCAAATATATCAAATATTATATATAGTGGAAGTTAGCTTGATCACAGCTAGTTTGCAATGTTGTTGAAGTTTTGGGAGCAAAAAAATCCTCAAACTAACTATTTTACGGACAGAAATTCTAGTCCTCGGACACCATTTATTGACTTTAACTACAGTAAAGTCTTCATGCCTCATTTGTTGAATTCGTAGTAGTCTTCAGTGCTTCGTACGGGTTAATGTTTGTCCTAATTTTTTCTTTTTAGAGGACGTTTGGATTCCCATGACGGTCCTGGCGACCCGAGAGACCCTCTACCTGCTCAAAGAGGACCACCAGTGGAGGAAAGACAGCTCGGGAGCGGATGAGGGCAAAGAGCCGTGCAGCGGGAGCTACGCCGTCCTGGAAAGCCTGCCAATCAGCTGCGTGAGCTCGGTCCACCTGTGGCCGGCGGACCAGCGCCGACTGGACATCAACCTTTACGACGAGGTCAGTATTTGTCATAAAAGCATATATATATATATATCAGTAGCGGACCGTGCATTTCACCCCTAGGCCTTCAGTAATGCTCCGTCTGAATCAATTCACCCCTCAATAACTATTTTATGGTTATATAAATCATCTTATAATAATCTTAGAAATACAGTAGGGATGTCCCGATCCAGCTTTTTGTATTAAAGTTCAAAGTTATTTATCTACTTACTTAGTTGTCAGACTCATGTTGAACTGGGATTTGGATCGGCAGTTTCTCATGCCGGCCGATACGATCCAAATATCGGATCGGGACAAGCCAGTTTAGGAAAAACTTACTTTTCTTGAAAGGTCCGTCTTGAAAATGGCCCTGACAGTAAATCCTCCACCAAATCATAAAATAGCTATTACACCAACACAACTATATTTCGGTTTGTTTGCTAGCTTTGCTGATATCTGACTATCCAATCAACAGCTGTGAATACGGTGACGTTGCCTAAGGCCTGCTAGAAGGCCCCGGCCTCACCAACCTAAAATCTGATTGGTTGAAGCAACAGTGTAGTCGACATGTATTTCTGTGAGGGGGTGGCCTGCAGAACGGATTGTGAAGGCCTCCAGGCAGACATCTTTGACTTTGACCTTGCCTAGCGACAAAGGATGTCTGAAATGTGATTGGTAAATGCTTTTATATGAAAATGCATGTCTGCAAGCAGCGCAACCAGGGGAAAAGCTATGAAAGGAAGCCGACAGACCATTTAGAAATATTTGATAAGTTTCCATGGACAAAATATAATTAACATCAGTCTTTGATTCAGATATTTTCTTAGGCCTGCAGAGAAGGCCTTGCAGGCCCTGACGGCCCACCACTGATATATATATATAAAAGCATGTATTTATTTTCCAGTAGCCGGTTACAGACGCGTTTCCCCGAGTTTGCGGTTTGATCATTTCCCGTGTCGTGTTCCCCGCCCTTTTTTTTTTTGTTTCTTTTCTCCCCCCCCACCGTGTTCTCCCCGCAGACGGTGAAGCAGGAGAAGAGGTGGTGCGTGCGCTCGGAGAGCGGCGAGCTCCTCCGGGGCCTGCTGGCCTGGGTCAGGGCGCAGTGGGAGACCATGTTCGGTGTAAAGCTCCACACCAGCCTGCAAGGAGAAGCGGCGTAACGGAGGAGGGTGCTAAAAAAGAAGCCCCTAGACCGTGTGTGTGTGTGTGTGTGTTTCTGTGTGTGTGTTCCTGTGGTTTTCGGGACGTCTCGCGAGCAGGAGCGAGTGTGTGTCTGTGTGTGTGTGTGTGTCTTTGTTTTCTCTCCACACAGTCTGCACACTCAGTCTGGTCCCATTACGCGTGTTCCTTTAAAGCCAAGAGCTTGGAAACGATTGCACTCATTCATGTGGTACACAAGCCCGTAAAAAGCTCTGGTTGCATAATTTTGTTTCCCCCCCTCCCAGAAAAAGCCATCCAGCTGAAGTTTTGTGCAGCTGAGCTGGAAGTGTGCCTTGTGTCTCTTGTAGAAGCCATGATCTTTCTGTTTGAACGCACACCCAAATGCATGGTATCCTTTGTTTTTTTTTGTTTTTTTTTTCTTAGCATTAAGCAGACGTGGGTGTCTGTAACTATGGGCATTAATGATGGGAGGGGACGGGGGGTAAAGGTCCCTCCTCTTGTTAACCTTTTCACCCCGCTAGGGGTTTTATGACGTCTCAGAAATGTGTCTGACTTGTCGAAATGTTTAGTTTTTTTCTAATTAATCCGGGCAAACGTCCTCCTTCGGGTTTAATCTCAATTCGGTATGTTTTTCTTGAGCCCTGTCTTTAATCAAGGCTGTGGAACGCCGACAGTCTGGGCTGGCCTGCGTCGAGTTAATAAAGCACTTTTTAAAAACGAATAAAGTCTAAAAAGAAAGACCTGTTACGGCTGTGTAAGTTCCCTCTGTGATGTCACAATGCAAAATCGTTTAGATTAATTTATGCGTTTGTTCTCATTTTCATACCGGACCGACACAGAACACTGATTTTTTTTTAATACAAAATGTCTCACCTGTGTATTGAATGTAAACGTTGTGTCTTTTCTTTTGTTTTTTTTTTGTTTCAGATATGTTTTTTTAATTTTCCGTGTCATGCGTGTACCGTCACGTTCTATCCATAGTTTGTTTGAAATTAAAAGAAGCCAAGCCTGTGGTGGAATTTTTTATTTTTTTTGGGATCCGATAGGGAAAGTATGAGATGAAACTTGCCCGGTTCTCTGTCTCGGCCGGCAGGGATTACTCGTGACGCAGTAGGTTGGGAGCATCTCGTCAAGGGTTGATGCCGAGTCGGCATTTTCATTCTTTGGGGGGTAAATACAGAATGCGATGGTTTGCAAATCTCCCTCATATTTCTTCCATTATGAGACATGTCAGCGGTGTTAAACTCCAATATTGTGAAACCTATCCCTGACTTATGTTGTCCAAACTCTTTGCTTGACAGAGAGCCTCCTAAGAACACTAAGAAAAGACCGAGGGGAGGGCTTTAAGTTTTTGGCCACATGGCTTTCTTTTTTTCTTTTTTTTTGGTCGCACACCACCAGACTTGCTAACCACTGCCACGGAAATATTTAAAAAAAGTAGTCCCCCCTCTCAGCTGTGTGAGAGGTACCTTAACCGGGGTTTCGCGGCGTAAATATTTCCTAGGCCGGCGGGTGGCCGAGCATATGCCCAGCACATGCTCGAGCCCAAGACCTGGATCACCTTCAATTGTAGCCACGTGGCTGAGCCTCCGCCGCCCCCCCCCCCCTTCAAAAACTAGCGAGCGGCAGCGGGTTCACGCTCAAATGACTGGTGACTACTCACCCGCGTCCTCAGGCAGCCCTGGTTTTAATGATATCCCCCCCTAAGTCTGACACGCGGGGGTTTTGAGGTCGATTCTAATTGCTGTAATCGAGGTGAAAGGTGATCCCTAGCTGCTTGGGTGGGGGGGGGGGGGGGGGGTTTGACACGTCAGCTCTTCTGACATCCACTTTTACTAAAAAATACAAACAAAACTGACATTTTAAGGTTAAAAAATGCAAATAAAAACACTGCAAAAGTCGTGAGACGAGTGCAAGTTGCCTCTTCTGTGACGGTGGTGTGTTCAGGGGCGCGGGAAACGGGGGGGTTTAAAGGCATCTTAATATGTGTAAAAGAGGAAGGGGAAAAATGTTTTGCATAGAAGCAGAAAATGGAGGCACATAAAACCGAATTAATGAGGGAGGCATTCTGTACATCATTACTTCTACTTTTATGGCTCCGATATGACATCTGGCACTATTTTTCCACACGCCCACACCAAGCCGTGCTTTTTTTTTACCCCCAAGTTTTTTTCTTTTTTAAAAAAAAGAAATACTTTTTATATCTTCCTCCATGCGGTCGGTGTCTCTGTCGAGTTCTTCTCCGTTTTATTGCGATTCTCGGCGGACCTGAAAGGTTTTTTTTCGAAGCCTCCGTCATCCATTTGCCTGAAAACAAACTGCGGGAGGAAGGAAACATTGAATCCTTCTGTGTCTTTGGCAAGACCCGCAATGAAAAATGAATGGTCCCCCCCCCCCCCCCCAAAACTCAGCTTCGAAAAATCCATGAGTCACGACGGCCGCACACGCTATGAATTCGTGTCACAAACTCGACTGTTTTCGGGAGGAAATGAGCAATCTAGGCCCGACACTAAAACATTACCACAACACGTGTGCTCGCAACGGGGAGAAAACGGCCACCGGCACGGGTGGCCGGGCATAAAAAAAAATCTAAAGTGTGTCCTAAAGCGGCGATTCCTGCCTCTAATCGGTCAGTTCGTATTCTCTGCGCATGGGTGGACTTGTGAGTTTTAAACCCCGGTAATGACTTTGTCCAGTTCGTCTCTTGTTTTGGTTTCTACAACCCTTTTTTCCCCTTATCGATAGATTGTTTTTTGTAACATTTAAGATGCTATCCAGCTGGGCAGGTGAACGAGTTCGCGCCTGGCTCCGGCCGTATCGGAGAACCCGGAGGAGGGCGGGGAGGTCAGATAGTAAGGGGAGGAAGCTGTAAGGCCGCCCGGGCCCCTGCGCGGACATCTGGGCCGTTGTCGACTTCCCACCGCCCTCCCCTCCAAACATTTCAGGGTTTTCTCGGCTAGATCGGGAGCACAGCAGCTGCCGGGTGCACGACAAGAAATCTATTGTTTTGCCCAACAGAATTCTTGGGACGGAGGGCCTTCTGAGGGTAAAAGCCGTCAGAGTCCTCAGCAGAAGGAGCCATGATTCGATGACCGTGTTCTCGTTCTGTACGGATTTCTTACGTTTCTACGAACGTAAACAGATCAGCGGACTGGAACAAATCCTCTGAACTGGATTGCCTTTAGAAGTGGGAACGTTTAAAGATGCCACAAATTTAACACCTCACAAGTCACCACGCAAAGTAGGGTGTCGACTAACTCGGATAACAAGTCGTAAGAGGTCGACTAGGAAACTGGACATAGGCTATAGTGGCGAAATATACAAAGAAGGAGGCCCTCAGTGTGCACTCAGGGAAGAATTTACCAGTTTTCCAAATGGTGTCACCTAAGTACCTTAAAGCAGTGAAAGATTTAAAATATCTATCTATATATGTTCTAAACGTTTAATGCCAGGACTAAAATTTGACAGAGCTAATGGATATCATGTTATTCGGTTTTATATTAATGTCTTGGGTCAATGCGTTGGCTGTGTGTTTAGATTTTTTTTACCTCCCCAAAGCCATTAATGTTGCGAAGCAGACGGAATATCACACACACACACACACTCACACACACACACTACACACACACAGCGTTCATTTCATATAATCCACCACCGAACGCAGCAAGGAACATAATAGCCTCCATCGTTTTTCTATAAAGCCCAATCATAAATCCAAAAGTGAGCAATTATAAGGTTCATAAAAGTGTGATTTATTGCAGGGAATGTTGGAGCCTGCCGAACAACCATTACAGCAATTAACTGCGTGCGTTTTGAGAATTTTTACGACAAAGAGCGGGAACGGTCACTTTTGTGTCGACCATTGTTTCCAGGGTGGGTTACTCAATGGGTCTGGAAGGGGCCCCCAGCTTCAAAGAAGCTAAACCTTGAAGAAATCACACGAAAAATCTGAATAAAAGATCAAATTACTGCGAGGTTCGTGCCGTTTGTTCTGGCCGACAGCTGAGATTTCTGCCAATTAGGTGTTATGACAGTTTGGGAACGCGATACCCTTCGGTCCGTTAGTTGTCTCCAAAATATGGCATAACCATGGAGACCATTAACATCGGTCACATTTGTCATTTCGGATCAAACAACTTGAGATTGCGTGGACCGAACACTAGCACGCAAATCTACCAGACAGCCCATGTTTCTCTTTTGAATGTTTTGATGGTCGAATTCCACAATTATGTCACAAAATCCCACGGATCCAATGTGTCTCTTCAAGAACTGGTGAGAGAAACTGGGCCTTTTTCTGCCCCCTCGTGATATCTTTTACCCCTAAAAACAATTCAAATATATATAAATAAACATGTGTCGGTTTTATTTGGATGTTTTGGGGCTGGGGCACTTCCACAGCATCGTGATACTCCGTCGGGAACGCACGACGGGGTAGAACGGTAGTCAACGCCGTGGATCTCAGGTTTCATCCGAGGGGCCTCCTCTCCTTGAACGGGGCCGAGTTACGTGGAGAGGAGGTGCGGCGGCGGAGGTGGGTGGGTGTGGAGTGGGGCAGTCGGGGTGGGTGGTATGGGGGGGGAGGCAGGAACCAACAGGAATCAAAAATCCCTCTTTTTGTCCTCTGGTTCGGGACCCCGACACACGGGGTCAGAACGGGCTGCTGAATGGGTTCAGACTATGAGAGCCCGCGCTAATTAGGAAAACCTGGTGAAGCAATTGAGCTCAAGTGAGACCAGCCGCGCGCGCACCGGAACCCCGACGGTGAGTTTCCCGGCGTAACTCGGGTTATCGGTCTCTTTTGTCAAAGCGTCTTCATTTAAAGTTCTTTTAAAACAATTTTTTAATTTATTTTGGAGCCTGAGGACACCTGCGAAAGAAAAATTAAGTTTACGAGCTGTCTGCCGGGGTTTAGAGCTCCGCCGCGCGAGCTCGAATCACGAGCGTAGGAGCAGCGCGTGCTGGGGGAAAAAAAAAGAAGGAAAAAACTAAAAGCGGTGAGTCGTCCCGGTTTTCGAGCTTCAGGGATTAATGTAACAAAGCAAGAATGCTTTAAACTTACTTTTAAACGTAACTCGCGAAGCCAAGCATTCGTACAGACCTTTTAAAAAGTGACCTTTTCGTGGCACAACAGTCTACTTCCAGGGCTAAACTGTTTGTTTAATGGCATTTAACTCGTTTTAAAACAACTTTTGTTTGTTTTGACGGGGTTAATTCACAGTTAATAGCAGTTCCTAACTCTCTTTTAAATGATGGCTTCATTTTCTAAGTCACCGGATATATATTTATTTTTTCCCCCCTTTCCAATCTTGGCAGCACTTTGTTTTCCTCCAGGAATGCCACAATTTCCAAAACATTTCAGTCTGACTCAGCAAAGCCCTGTTCAGAGCCTTCCACGGTTCTGCCTTCGAGCAGTTTTTCTTCTGGGATTATTTGAATCTGGAAGTCTTGAGGATATAAGCAACCACAGAGCAGTTTTTGGTGGACGTTATTTATTTATTTTTTCTTTCAGATTTTTTTTTTAGTCTTGCTGCTCAGACAACAGGGGGATTTCAAGTACCCTCTGTCTGCTCCGTGAACCCTAAAATCCAAGCTTTCTGGTTTTGGTTAGGCAGGAATGTTAACTCGCCTTCTGCTTTGTCCAGCTTTCCAACCCCCCCCCCCCCTCTCCTTCTCCATCCTCTGCTTGAGCTGAGTGACTTGTGAGGCAGAAAAGCCATTAAACCAAGAGCCCATACGGCAGTTAAGCCGTGCAGAAGTTATCTCCAGGTTTGCCGAGAGAAATCTGAGGGAGGGGGGGAACGTTGACTCGAGTCAGGAACCAGCTTGTCTCCTAGTCGCATTGTTGGGGGATGAGCCGTTTGTTTGTTTTTTTACCCAGGTTCTTCTCTGTGGAGAGAAAGGAAGAGGTTAAATCTGTAAATTTCTTGACTTTTCACTGAAGTTCTTTAATCTGTAATGAGGGAACGCTACAGCAAGATGTTTAAGGGTCAGTTTATAGTCCTAATCTGATTTTCTAATGACCAAATCTACTCTTTACCAAGTTTGTTGGCGTCTGTGAACCAAGTGTCCGAGAGACTTGTCTTTTTTCTCTTTCTTTCCTCCCGTTTTCCCTTCTCTATTCTTAATGTGATGCTTTTTAGAAGCCACGAGCAGTTAGAATGCTTCAGCTAAACTTCTCTAATCATCTTTTATCACAGTAGGTCACATCCCTCATCCATATCAGAAGGTTTTCCTGAAGGAATCCGAAAGCTGTGGCGCTTCTGTGAAGTTTAAAGGAATGGTCCTTCTCTGTCAGGCTTTTATTTTTTTTTTTTTTTCCTCACGACTTTTTAATGAAAAGCTTATTAGCTATGAAGGGAAAACAACCCAGGCAGGCTGAAACGGGCCCAATTAAGGCTAAGTGTTTTTGCCCAATTCCGCGGCGTCATTCATAAGAATTTGGTATATCGCCCCCCGAATTACGGGCTAACACCTACGCATGTGGGTGTTTGTAATTGCATGTTTGGGTAAAAACAGATGCCACCTTTCAGCTGTACTTGTGCTTGACTTCTTTCTTCTTCTTTTTTTTTTCCTTCCAGGGTCATAAAGGGTTCTGTTTTGTTAAAAGATGTGACATTCCCACAGGCAAGAAGCTGCATTTACCCCCAAGTTAATAAGTCACCCAGCGTGGGTAAAACCTGCAATTTTTAACAATTTGTCTGGTTTAACTTATTTAAAAAGACACACTCCAAGGCCTTTAATTTCCACCGTCTGTCGCTTTGGTGTAGGGCTGTCTCATGTGGACTCATGTCAGACTCATCTCAACTTCAGGGACGAATCTTGAAAAAGGAGGGTAACCAAACTGGTGACTGAGGGCCTTTTAAATGGCTGCCTCATCTGCCCAGATGAGCCTGCACATGCTTTATGGTGGCTAACGCCTGTCTCTGCTGCAATGACTCATAAAATGTTGGTTATTTTCTTTTGCTACACCCTGGATTCTAAAAGTAGAGATGCAGAGTGGGAAGGGTTCGGAGTCTTAAAGGTACAGCTTTCCCCAATCCGTGCTCCTAGCTATTGGAATCTGTGGAATTAAAGTTGAAGCTGTTTTATTTGTTGGTTAAATTTGTTTTCTAGTATTTGAGCAGACAATCCACATAATTCCTAAATTTGTTTAAATGTAGGGGATGTTGTATTGTGTATGTTGTAGTGAAAGAATGAGGTCTATCAGAATCATTCTCATGCAGAGAGGTGCGAAAAAAATAAATTCCCATTTCTTTTCAATGCTTTAGCACCAGAAATCCTGTGGCCCAAAGCCCCAGCGGGTCTTGACAGCAAGCACTTTGAATTTTGATCAAGCGGCTCAAACTTGGCACACCGGGGGGCCGCAAAGAATTTGGCCTTTCACAAAACTGATACCATCCTTTGTGCGATCTGACCAGGGGAAGTAGTTTTAAAGAAGTACCGGCCCGACTAAGGTGGATTATTTCTTTCTTTTTATTTATTTTAATTTTCTTTCACGGTCTTGTCTGGATCTGTTCTGCGAGCGGTTTGATGCTTTTGAGACTTTATTATCCCAATTAGCAGTATTTGGTTAAGGGAGGGGGGTCAATTTCACAGACTAAAAGTCAGGAACTAAAGAGTACTGTAATTGTATGCAGATTGTGTTCCCCAATTAATCATGTGGTCTATTAAATGTTGTAGAATGAGGGGAAAAACATTCATTAGTTCCCCTTGGCCTCAGATCGGCAAACATTTTCTACTTTTCACCAGCAAGACTATTAAAACTCCTCGGCACCCCTTTGGCTAATAAAAGGCCTGTGATTTGGAATCCAAATATAGCTGAACTATTTAAGAGCTAGGGGCTTGTTTTCCTGCTCTCTAAAAGCTGAGCACTGCCTGAAAACTGCCTTTAAAACAAAGCAGGACTCTTCTGTTTCATTGGTTATATCAGTTTTAACCTTATTTTTATTTTTTTTATTTTTCTTTAACCCTTCCAGACCTGAATTAGCGCTCCACTGATCCAGGCACCATGAGCTGGAGCTTCCTGACCCACCTGCTGGACGAGATCTCCAACCACTCCACCTTCGTGGGGAAGGTCTGGCTGACGATGCTCATCATCTTCCGCATCGTGCTGACGGCCGTCGGCGGCGAGACCATCTACCATGACGAGCAGAGCCGCTTCGTCTGCAACACGCAGCAGCCCGGCTGCGAGAACGTGTGCTACGACGCCTTCGCGCCGCTCTCCCACGTCCGGTTCTGGATCTTCCAGGTGAGCGGCCGGCCGAGGAGCCGTCCAGTCCAATCGTCGGGTTGGGTTTCGTCTCTTAAGACGCGATCTTTATGACAGTTTTTTTTTTACGCAGGTGATCATGATCACCACGCCCACCATCATGTATCTGGGCTTCGCCATGCACAAAATCGCCCGCATGGGGGACAGCGAGTACCGCCCGGTCCAGGGCCGGAAGAAGAGGATGCCCATCGTCAACCGCGGGGCCGTGCGGGACTACGAAGAGATCGAAGAAGAAGAAGACCCGATGATCGCGGAGGATATCGAACCGGTCAAGCCGGACGCAACCGACAAAAGTAGGCTGTAGTGTCTCTCTATGGATAGTAGATCTTTAACGATCACTGTATGAGATGGACATTGATTAAATGTGTGGTTTTCAGAATCTGAGAAGAAGCACGATGGCCGGCGGAGGATCCAGCGCGACGGCCTGATGAAGGTCTACGTCTGCCAGCTGCTGTGGCGCTCGGCCTTCGAGGTGGCCTTCCTCTTCGGCCAGTACGTCCTGTACGGGTTCGAGGTCATCCCCTCGTACGTGTGCACGCGCTCGCCCTGCCCACACACGGTGGACTGCTTCGTGTCGCGCCCCACCGAGAAGACCATCTTCCTCCTGGTGATGTACGTGGTCTCCTTCCTCTGCCTGCTGCTCACCATCCTGGAGATCGTCCACCTGGGCGTCGGCGGCGTCCGCGACACCTTCCGCCGGAGGGCGGCGCTGGGCGCCCGCCCGCCCCGCCCGCCGTCCTCGCGCTCCATGCCCACCGCCCCGCCGGGCTACCACGCCACCATGAAGAAGGAGAAGCTGAAGGGCGCGCTGAGGGACTTGCCCGCGGGCGACTCGGGCCGCGAGAGCTTCGGCGACGAGGCGCCCTCGTCCCGGGAGCTGGAGCGCCTGCGGAGGCACCTGAAGCTGGCCCAGCAGCACCTGGACCTGGCCTACCAGCCGGACGACGGGAGCCCCTCGCGCAGCAGCAGCCCCGAGGTCAACACGGCCGCGCAGACGGCCGCCGAGCAGAACCGCCTGAACTTTGCCCAGGAGAAGCAGGGCGAGCCCAGCGAGAAAGGTAACGACGACGGTCAGGAATTCAGCTGAACCGATCTTACCCTTTGTCTTAGCTTCCGCTAATCGATTAAACAGCTGTAATGGTAGTCGGAAAGGAAGGAAGTTAATAGTTTAGAATGCTTGTGCAACGTACGCTATTAAAAGTAACGCCGACCGACACTCACTCAAAAGAAATCTAAACATTTAAAAGAGCGGAACTCGACAAGACTCGATGGCTTGGAGGAAACAAATTCTGAATCCAAATATTTAGGACATTCCGATCGATCTGGTCTGATTGCTGTGGTCGAGCTGGAGAAACGGAAGGCCTTAGACAAAGTTGAGCGTTTGTGCTGAGTTCTGACTTTCTCTCCTCTCTCTCCCCAGGAATACATGCCTGAGCATGCTTCCCTTCTCTGACATCAGTCCTTTTCTGGCCCAAAAAACGCACGCGATGAAGCACATATGGGAATGCAGTCAGACCACTGAGGGGGGGAGCAAAGAGTGCGGCCGAGGGATTCGTGCCTTTCAGTATTAGTGGTCGGTCCAAAAACGCTGACCGAGCAAGTGTGGTGACAAACGCTTTCATTGAAACTTGAACGCCTGTCGCATCCGGAGGTTCTGCTTGCCGACCTGCGTCCAAACTTCGACAACGCCTTCAGAAACCTTTGACCACACTCTCAACTGACTTGGCGGCCATGCGGTAATCCTCCCGAGGATTAATCTAAGGTTTAAAGTACGACTGAATCCACTTTAGTTTATTCCTCCCAATTGAGAGGCTCCTTTTTTTCTTTTTTTTTTTTTTTTTTTAAATGAAATGTCCCTGAATGTTAAAGTCTTACTTTGTCGAGGCTTGTTTGTTCTCTAAATCTTCAAACAACACAGCCTTCGGTTATGTCTTTTTTTTTTTTTTTTTGTGGGTGTGATATGCAACACAAGTGGCCTAACCTGCACTATGAATCATGTTTAATTAAAAACGGCTTTAATTTTAGATTGTTTATCGGTAAGAACCCGTTCCGTTTTTTTCCGGAACATTCAAAAGGTGTTTCATACTTAATTAATCGGCCAAAACGTATGCCTGGGCAATGCTTGAATTCATGATTTGACTAAGTGTTTTGAGAATTTGCCAACAATCGTTCCATCCGGTCCGTGTTTGTGCCATGATGTCCCTTTAAATTATGTAACATGGCGGGTTTATGCCGCCTTATTTTTGTATAATAGCTGGTCAACAAAACTCCAACCTCTTCTTGAATTTGTCCTTTGAGTTGGATTTATTTTTCTAGCCCATTATGTGTTGAAACATGCATCTCCACTGTATTGGGGGGAGGGGGGGGGTTCAGATGTCTTCAGTTCATAGCTTTCGAGTACAACTTCTTCCATAGCCTGTCGGTTGTTTTCATGTTCAATTATAATGGCTGTCTGATGCTGTATGCTTATCATCTCACTTCCACTTCAGCCATTTACTGCAAGGTACAACATTCCATTTTGAATATGGTACTCCGATGTTTTTTGTTTCCATTGCAAGATTTGTAGCTTTGTAACTGTAGAGATTATTTTGTCTTCAGAGTAAATAAATATATTTGAAATACTTTTCTCGTATTTAACTCGGCAAACCGTCTCATTCCAGGTTACTGCAGCGTTTGACTAGGCAGGGAAATAAAAGCGGGCCAATGGCGCCATCTACAGGCCATAATTGGGAAAGGATAAATGAGGTATAAGACGTCAAGCAGGTCAAAACTTGCCTTAAGATGCAACTGATTAATGGGTCAAGTCTTTTCTGTTTACATCTTTGACAGAAGCCGACGGTTTTGTAAGGTGGCTTGACTTACGATTTCATGCAATAGCTCATTTTTCGGGACACAAACTATTAAATCATCCAAGATTCCAAATCAAATGGGGCTTCTTTAGTCTTTACTAGGTCAGCCCTTATTTCCACGAGACTACACAAATCTGGGCCATTTTATGGCCTTATTTTTTTATTTTTTTGCGACAGGAAATTGTCCAAAAAGTTTAAACTCAACATGGTAATGCAAACATTTCAATGTCTTTTTATGATATAGAATTGTATCTGACAGAATTAAAAAAAAAAAAAGGCTGGGATTAGCCTTCGATCTTGAATGGTCTGCATTAGGGATTTAAAAAAAATAATTTATTCTACATTTTATCCATACATTTTTATTATGGTGGTTGGTAGAGTAAGCCAACTCAAAACCTTTATTCAAAAACAAGCGCATTCCTCGGGCATGAGGTCGGGCAGGATCTCGCGCCGGAACGAGTGCCCTCCGTCCGACGTGGTGGTCACCTCCGCGGACCTCATGGTTCCCGGGACCGGGGCGCAGCACTGGGTCACCCACAGGGTCGCCGCCGCGCTCCGCCCCCCCGCCACCGAGCAGTTCCCCCGGCAGTAGGAGAAGGTCAGCGCCTCCGGGTGGACGATCCACTTCTCCCAGCCCAGCTCCCGGAAGGCCACTTCCACCTCTTCCCGCCGGCAGTCCCCCTGATCCTCCTCCCCCGAGGGCCTCTGGAGGCGCCGGACGGCCGAGGGGGACCAGGGGACGGTCACCTGACGCGGGGACCGGGCGGGCGCTCGGGGCCTGGCGCGCACGTGAAGAAACGGGGTCCTGTCCGTCCCGGTGGCCCGACAGGGACAGGACGGGCAGCCCACGTGGATCGCGAAGGGGCCCGAGGCCACAGAGGCCAGCAGGCTTTGGTCCAGGAGGTAGGAGGTCCACCCGTCTGGACTCGATTCTGCCCGGAGGAGCCTCCGGCCAGAGTCCAGTACGAAGAGGGGGGCGGACGAGTCTGCCGAGGCCCCTTCCCCCACGTGGAGCCAAAAGTGGGCAGAGGTGACCACGGCGTGTCGGAGGTTGATGGAGGGCTGGAAGTAATATGCGAACTGACCACGGACGGTTTCTCTCGGAGCCGAGCAGGACGAGTTCGCTGTGGCAAAAGTAGAGAAAAACACGGGTCACTCACTCAACAGTTTATTTGAATTACTAAATATAGACTTTATCATGTTCTGACTTCTAACGGTGTAACTTTGCCTGACGCTCATCACAATTCAACATTTACATTTAGTACGTAATCCCAAAAACTTGAAACAAGTCAAAGTCTTGACCAGTCCTTGTTTATTTTATCGGTGAGAACAAAAAAGAAAAGAAAAACAAAGATACAATTAACTGAAACATTAAAGGGAATCCAACAAATGTTGCAAAAAGAGCGTAAAATAAAGTATTTTTAACTTAGTTTAACGTGAATTGAATCATCCAAAATGAAAAACATGCCCCTGCAATTTCATCAAACTTATGATTTGGTTACTTGATGTAAACCAAAATGGAATTAAGACAACCGAAACCAAAAGGACCAAAACTGATAATTAGTTTAAAAAAACACGCACATTAATGTATAACTATATATCTAAATCAGTTCATCAATAAGCTAAAACTGCACCAAGTAAATTATTAAATGCAACTTATTTTTTTCTTTATGCTCCAATTTAAGCTATCTGGTTTCATTTGATGTATTTTTGTCTCTTTCTTTTTTCCCTTCAATTCTCTCCCAGGAAGCCGATTTATTTCCATGTCTTCCAACATTTTTCCGTCTCTGTTTCGACATCTGCAGCCTCTTTATGTAAATAAGGCGGGTTGTCCTTCCACCAGATGACCAACTTCCTTTAAACTGACCGGTAGGTTAGAAGCTGACCCCCGTGAACAGCCCACCTTATTAGAGCCAAATTAAAAACGAACTGAACTCAAACCTAAAATTCTAGGAGCCAGGAATCCCAATTTTCTTGGATCTATTAGCATTTTTACCACTTCCTGTAGGCTAACTAAGCCTGTAAAATAGCTTAACCATTTTCTTAGCATATACCCCCCGGTGTAATTTTCTCCTGCACTTCGTTGTGTATATTATTTTAAGTGAAGTTCACCTTCAAAGTTTATCAAAATATATGGACTGCATTTGCAGTACAATACATTTCAGATACTTTAAAACTTTAACTAACTTTAAGTAACATTTCAGTCAGTGAGTTGGACTTTTTTTGGACTTTTAAGTCATATTTTGGAGAGGTACTTATAGTTTTACTTGACTCTGAGATGTCAAAACTGTGTTTTGTATATTATTTTAAGTGAATTTCACCTTCAAAGTTTACCAAAATATATGGACTGCATTTGCAGTACAATACATTTCAGATACTTTAAAACTTGAACTAACTTTAAGTAACATTTCAGTAAGTGACTTGGACTTTTTGGGAATTTTAAGTCATATTTTGGAGAGGTACCTACCTATACTTTTACTTGACTCTGAGATGTCAAAACTTGTTGTAAAAGATATGTTACCATGGAAATAAAAAGATTTAAGGCTTGGCTCAAGACTAACAGAGAAACAGTGTTTGCTCTAACCAAAGGGGGAACTTTCCTCACCGGGTTCTTTTCAGATCTGCGGGTTCGCTCGGTGGAACTAACTGGAACTCCGCACACACAGAGGGGTCATAGCCCACTTCTTACTTTGATATACTTTGCCAGCTCTAACACGTGAAGCTCAAGCACACGGGTCAAATTACAGATAGAAAAGCGAAATACGAGGCGTCCGGCACGTTGTGTGTTATTTTGATGATTTTCGCGCCGTCGACGTGAATTTCCGGTATCAAATTTATCAGGCGGGAAAACAAAAAAAACAACAAAAACACGAAGCGTCTCACCAGATGAGGGGAACACGATCATCTGAGTCCTATCCCGGGCCGAGCCGGCCGCTTCACTCCTCCTGGGCAACCTCGCGCGGACGCGTATCGTTTCCAGCCGCGTGGCGTCGATGGGTTCGAATCCCATTCCCGCTCCGGGAGGGGGCCCGTCCAGCCCCAGGCCCTCCAGGACTCGCTCTCTGAACCGGGACAGCGCCGCCCCCCTGGACGGCTCCTCTCCCCCGCGGGCCCGGACCAGAGCCGGGATCCAGAGCGGGCCAAGGACGAGGACCGCAGGGAACATCGTAGCACAATCCCCCCTGGGCTCGAAACACCACCCAGATGCTAACGCAGAGAAGTCCGGAGAGTGGATTTGACTAGTTTTTACCACTTCGAAGAGGCACAGAAGTCACACGTCCAGAAATTGAACAGACTGCCGCGATGTTCTTAATTCTCACACATTGCTTGTTTAGACTGTTTGTCTCGGTTATCTGGGCTCCGAGAGAGCTCTGCGAGTTACAAAAAAAACCAAAACACTTTTCTTACTAGCAAGCAAACAAAGAGAGAAAAAGGATGGCCTTGACAGATTGGATGGGGCATTATCTAGGGTTTGTGGTATTTCGCGGAAACAAAACACCTCGTCTGTGATGTTTTTCCTCCCTTTTCTTGCGTGCGGGGGGGGGCAGCTTTCGGGCGGCAGAGCTGACCTAAAACACACAAAGAAAGAGGTATCTCCAACTCAGTGCATTCTCAGAGAGCAGCTTTTACCTCGTACGCATCTCTATGTCTTTGTTTTCAATAACCGTCTCATAGGTATGACTTCCTGTTTGGCGGGTTTTGATCCAACCACCTCTCCTATGTTAATAGTAAAGCAACCGCTTAGTGATAGAGATTTCAGTGTTGCACATGTAAGGTTTGTGTTGTCATTTTCTTTTTTTTTAAAGCAATTTTGAATAGAGCTGAGCTCTTAAAAGCTAATTGTGCTGCCACTGAGGTACCTGCCAGACCCGAGAGCGAACGGTGAACTAAAAAAACAAAAAAGCAGCGAAAAGTAAATGAAAAGTATCAGTCGAAAAATTAACATTAAAGTGGTTTGGGCTTCAATGCGACAACACATCCGTGGTAAAAAAAACAAAACAGCCCTCAACACCTAGCAAGTACAAAAACTTTAGAGAAGAACAATCTTCGGTGCTAACTGTAGATGGAGTTGGCAAATTTCAAATAAAGCTATTGTTTTAGGCCTTTACTGAGGTGTCTTGATAATGTCTAGTTAAACACAACAGCAAGCAAACCAGTATTCAACTAAACTGGGAAAAAAATGTCCTGATTTTTGTTTTTGCTTTGAGGAATTAAAGACAGATTCGTAAAGTTTCTCACGAAAAGATGTAAATCAGGCTTTATTGGAGACACTGAGAACTTTGGATTGTTTTCCACAAATCCACGGATATCTTCTTCTCTTATCTCAAGTTAACATTCAGACAAGCACGTGGTGGAGTATTTCCTCAGTTGTGTTTGGGTCAGTAGGGAATGAAGGTTCTGCTGTAATTCGAACGCCGACCAGGAGAGAGCGACAAAAGCCCACCTCATCAAAAACCCTGTCCAGGCGTCTATGTTCCAGCTCATTGGACGTAAAGCTTACAGTCCTGATTCAATCCTGCTAGAAAACTGAAAAAAAAGTAACTCGCACCCCAAAATGTAACAAGCGACAAATTTCAGAAATTCTGCTGCCTACGTTTTATTATGTCCGATACTTGTTCGATCAAACTATTTTAAAAGCTTGAACAAAGGTTGTAATTTTCCAAGATATAGATAAAATCCAGGGCCGTCTCCACATAATTTACTAAATTAAGCATGTTAAAGTTAGTGTGGGTTTTGTAAAACTTAAATAAGCATTCTCATAAGAGGTTAATATTTACTGAGATGATTCCAGTCATAGACATAGGTATAGTCCAGCAATATTTTAAGGTAAACACCTTTCAGGAAGACAAGGAAACAAAGATCTAACCAAATAATTGAATTGATCTTTGGGATTTGGTCATCTTTTTTTTAAGATCCAGTAATGATTTTGAGAAGATCTCAGAATTCAAATGAAAATGCATTAGTGGTGGTATTGCTGACAGCCTGTAGATGAGTGAATAACATCAAAGGATAATGGTCAATTTCTTCAGAACTGCCCACATGGCACAGTAATTGATTAAATGCACTTGGCTGTAGTGCGCCGCTGGGAATGACCCAAAACCACCGGCAGAGGTTTTATTTTATTTTTTATTTTTTTCCAGCCTGTAGGAGGAGCTGCCAAAAGTATCCAACTGAGACTGTAACTTGCAGATTTCACTGCATGAAACCCATTATTCTCCTCAGGATGACTTGACTCACTTTATAGAGCGAATCCAGAAAGAGATTTTCTTTTTGAAGCATTCTAGAACATCTGAGCAGGGTTTGTTTGTCGGCAGGCTTTTTAAAAAAAGATTTTCCAGGTTTGGTTTAGATACCTTTCCCCTGATTCTAGCAATTTTGTTTTTTAGGTGGTAAAAGGCTGTGAATGTTACGTGTTTATTGTGGCTGTTAAAGTTAAAGTCTGAGTCCAGTATTACCCCAACATTTTTAACCAAATTTTTAGCTTCAGATCTCTCTGAAGCTAAAAATTTGGTTAAAAATGTTTTATAAGCCATAGAAGTAATTTCCCTGTGTCATTAGTTGCTACAAATGTGCAAAAAATGGGGACAGCATGCTCCTGTCCCAGTTTTTACGTAATGAGTTGAAGGCATTCAATCCAAATTAAAGGAATACCTTGGAAATAACAACGATTTATCACTGTCAACATTATATATTGTTTTGTTGGTGTGTGTTAAGTTAGGGAAATGTCAAATCAATGTTTTCTGCTACGTTTCACACAATTTCTCAATTTGATAAGACATTCCTGTTATGCTTTGTTCTAAATAAACTTTCTAGCGGGACTTTTAACATTTGCATTCAGTTTTTATTGACATCCCTCAACATTCCGACCTTTTTGAAGCTGAGGTAAACATTTCTTTACCTGTTTCTTTCCTTAAAAATGGACTCTCTAAGCTGCCTCGGATGAGGAAATGCCTGAAACCTTATTTGCCGTTATAACTACAGTATAGCCGTATACCATAGTTGTTCCAACTATCATTACCATAAAGTGTTAAATCCCTAAGCCCTGTCTTCATTCTTAGACTTTCCTTTTATAGTAACTCCGACCGTCTGTCTCTAACTGTCTCCGCTTTTCTCACACATACACTCTCAGACACGCATTCGTTTGGGTTTACAATCTTATCTGGAGGGCTTAGAGAGTTGGGCGCTTTGTGCGTGCATGTGCGTAAGCATGTGAGAACAGGTCATAGAAGGCAGTCCAAGAAATGTGACCTATCCGTGCAGCTGTCATTCCCAACCTGAGGGGAGCATGGGGAGTCGGGTGTGGGGGGGGGGGAAGCAGGAACATGGGAGACGGATAACTTGAGCTGATTTAGGTACGCTGGGGGCCAAAAAAAGGGTCGAAAAGTGTCGTTTTTAAGGAACGACCTGGGTTAAAGGGCGCCACAACGGAAGACCTGTTTGATTTGACATTTTAAAAAAAGGAGGGGGGGGCTTTCTCGGTTCTCCTCAGTCCGCTCCCTCCTCTCTGAGGTTAGAGCTGTTGAAAGGGGACCATGACAGTGGCTGCTAATGCTTCATGATCTGGGGTGGACTTACACCTAAAGTCTTTGCTCACCAAAGGACAAATAGACACGTCGGCTTCAGCAAACGATCCGAGATGAACTATTTTGCTCCGTGGATCTTGTTACCTTAGCTCGGACTTTGCAGGGATGTCCAAAGGAACTCCTTTTGGCCTCATTAGCAAAACTGAGGTAAGTTGCCTTTTTTTTAAGTTCCTTTGACAACTCATTAGATCGAGTTCTTAGCTGTGTTAAAACATATGAAGGCTTAAGGTTATGTGCTCAGTCTGTTTTAGAAATAATAACGGCATTACATAAATCCTCATTATCCTCAAAGTAGGCAAAAGACACTGAAGTGAGTTATTCTCGATTGAATAGTTGACCATTTCAAAATTTGGACACCATCCAAACCTGATCTTCACAACATGTTTATGGAATTTTACGGTGGCATAACGAGGAATTTTTAAGTGACCTTCAGTGGCAAAAAAAGCACAGACTCGTCTCCAGAGTCTTTAGACTCACATCATCAGGTCTACTGCAATTGGATGAAGATCACGTGAACAGATAATCAGCACAACATGGCAAGAATTGGTTTCTTCTGTCAAAACGGTGGTGGTAGTATCATTATCAGGGCCTGTTCAGCGCAACGATCCATCACTGCATTTTGAACTGTATCAGCATAACCTAACAGAACATTCCAGAATACCTTTCCTGGAATTTGAACAGAGGAAAAAAAAGGCATCCTGCACACAGAGTACCGGTCAGAGTTTGGACACACCCTCCCCTCCACTTTAAAATAAAGAAGTTCAACCATTTGAATGGCGCTACATTCTAAATGGGTTTTTACGTTCACTGAGGATTTTAAAAAACACATAGTTTTGTAAGTTTTGCATGTCAACACATCGAAAAAAATTTCCCATCATGCAGCTGAATTGCTTGTTAAGTAAAACATCACTACAAGCTTGTTCAAGAAATATGTAGTTGTGTGTTGTTTTTGCATTTGGATGATTGAAGAACATTTCAAATGTGGCTTTTTTAACGGTCTGCCTTTTAAGACGACCAGATGTTGCTGTTTTTTACTCTGACAATCTATCATATTTTTGTGATTAATGGTAATTTCAGCTCCCGGTGCAGCAGCCCAGGGGACACCACCTCCTTTTCCCCCTTAAGCTCTGGAGATATCTGAACCAGCGGATTCCTGTCAATAAATGCGGCTCCTGATAACGACAGTCAATTACCAGATAGAAGAAGTCTAGCACAAAAGAAAACAAGATGGCAGATCTCCCTAAGTTCAACCCTTCTCTTAACATCCCCCCCATTAAGTCCAAAGTGACCAGGGAACCAGGTTTGGAAGACGGTGGAGTGAAAACGGGAGAACCGTCCGCTCCAGTTTTCACCCGTAAGCTTCGCAAGGCCGCGGTGGGAACGGGCTGTGACATCCGACTTCGGGTGTTGGTGTCAGGACACCCGAAACCGTTGCTGACCTGGTACCGCAACGACGAGCTGCTCCCCCCCTCGGACTCCCAGGACTCAGGAGGGCTGTGGATCCGGGACTGTCGAACGAGCGACGCCGGCCTGTACACCTGCGTGGCGACCAATGAGCTGGGAGACGCGTCCTGCAGCGCCGTGCTCGCCGTCATGGACCTCGGTGAAGGTAATCGCAGTGGGGATTGAAAAGTAGAATTTGGATAGACTTCAGATTGGCTCATGGCTGTAAATGACAGCTGACCCATCTGAAGAAGCTGTTTGGGATGGTCCTGTTTGTAGTCAGCTGCTAAGGTAACTTTTTCATTAGGAAATCAACATGAAAAGATCCCAAAGACACTTTTCTTTTAGTAGCCTTTCATACCATGCATGTGACCTAGGTAAACTAGGTAAACTAGTGTGAAGAACTTTGAATTTGAACTTTATAAGGGACGGTAAACAGACTTTCTGAATGCTTAACAACATCTCAAAGTCTCCTTCTGCGCGAGACCTGAAAAGATCAATAAAAGTTAAGTAAAATGATTAAATTAATCAATTGATAAATATTTTTATTTGATGTGGTGTGGTGGTCAGCATCGTCGTCTCACAGGAAGATGGTTCCTGGTCCGAATAGCCCTTCTGTCCGGAGCTTGCCTGTTCTACTGCCTCCTACCATCCATAAAACATGCATGTTACGTTATAACATGCATGTTATTGGACGGCAAAATCTCTAAATTCCCAGTAGGAGGGAATGTGATTATGTGTAGTTGTTTGTCTCGGTGTGGTCCGGTGATGGTGACCTGTCCAGGTGGTACCCCGCCTCTGGCCCACTGTGAAATGGGAAGGGCTACAGTGACCCTATCAGGAATAAGTGGTATAGATTATGGATTACATTTTATTAGAGCATCCTACATGGACTTGTACACTCTTGTATTTCCCATTTTACAATATAATTTTATTATCGAGGAGGCACTATGGTGTGGTGATTACCACCAAATCAAGAGGGTTCTGGGGAACCAGGACCTTTCTGTATGGAGTTTGCGTGTTGTCCCTCCGGGTTCTCCGGCTTCCTCCCACCATCGAAAAACCTGTTATGTTGACTGAACATTCCAAATTGCCCTTAGGAGTGAGTGTGACTGTGTGTCTCTGTGTGGCCCTGTGATGGACTGGCAGACCGTCCAGGGTGTACCCCGCCTCTCGCCCGTTGACCACTGGCATAGGCTCAAGTCCCCCCCCAGTGACCCCATTAGGGAATAAGCGGCTCAGAAAATGGATGGATGGATATTATTATCATCAAAGCAACTTTAAAGCTGAAAAAAAAGTTAATATTTGTGTGCCAGTTCTTGAAACTGATTGAATCAGAGCGTGAGAACTGGAAGAAGCTGTGGTATCAAATTAAGCTGTGAAGATATTGCTGCCGTCACGGCTCTGTGACATATCCAAAATTAGAATTGCTTGTTGTTCTGGTTTTGCTCAAGATGGCTAGTCTGCCAGTATAACTTCAAACAGAGTCGGTCGCATTTTACATATAGCCCCCATAAAGGGGATCAGGTCAACAAGTCTTCGGATAAGAGAGAGAAACCCCTTTGTAGAAGGAGGATGAAATAGGACGACTTCTGAATGTATTTTGTCATTCGAGTTCCCTAAAACGTGCTGGTTAGCACCATTACCTCACAGCAAGAGGGTCATGGGTTCGAATCCCGGGGGAACCAGGACATTTCTGAGTGGGTTCTTTCCGGGTTCTCCGGCTTCCTCCCACCGTCCAAAAACCTGCATATTAGGTTGACTGGACATTACAAATTGCCCTTAGGAGTGAGTGTGTGTGGTTTTGGTCCTTGTGTGTCTCTGCGTGGCCCTGCAATGGACTGGCGGACCGTCCAGGGTGTACCCCGCCTCTTGCCCTTTGATTACTGGGTTAGGCCCCCAGTGTCCCCATTAGGGAATAAACAATTATGATAATGGATGGGTGGATGTATGGAGGTGCCTAAAACTAACACACCAGATGTCTTTCAAAGTAAAAGACGGCCTCTTTTTTCGGTACACTTTATAGTCTGTTGCAATTATCACATAGTTCACGGCAAACTGTTCACTGCATGTGCAGTATTTTTTCTGTGAGTAGAAATTAAAATGTTTAAAGCAGGGAAGGACCTCAACACCGGGCTGGGTTCCCCAAAGATGACGGCATCGAACGAGCCGATATTAATACCCTCGGGAAGTTTGCATCATCCGTTCGATGAGTCCTTTGTGTCATTTACAGGACACGGGGCGTGTGTGACTGGATTCATTTGATCTCACTTTTTTGCTGCGGTTGACAGTCAAGCTCAGAGGTCACCGGCTCTGTCAGATGGATCTGCCAGCTGGCGTATCGCTCAGGAGTCGGCACTTCCACGTCTTGCTCACCTTCTTTTGTTGGGGATTTTATTTACGTTGACCAATTTTTTTACTACCCCCCCCGTTGTTCTGACAATTTATGTCACCGTATTCCGTCTTGTATCTATCTTCTGCATTTACATGGATAATGAAGCTTGTTCTAATCCATTTGAATTACAGAAGTCATGATTTCAAGCCACCCGACGATTGCACCTTAGACCATTTTATGTCTCTCTTCTTAGTTGTCCAGCTGAAACTTGAAATTCATTGGCCTCGGCCACTTGACAAGTAGGGCAATGCTTTTAGAGAAGATGACCGTAAATGAGTAACAGCTAACTAAGCGTTCGAAAGGTAGAGTCAATGGATTTACAACGGGTATCCTTCGGTAGACACGTTCTTATCGGACTTTCATTTGAATGATGATGAAAGATGACATTTGAGCTCTTCTCTTTGAACACCGTGCACCCGAACAGCGAGCAGGAAGAGGAGCTAAATACTTCCATCAAGGCCCTGGCTGTTTTCTTATCTGCTTGACCTCTGTCTCCCCCCCCGTGCAGCACCCCTCTTTTCTCCTCACTTGTCGGTTATTTATGGCCCCGGTATGTGCCGTGCCGGCTGGAGGGCTCGTGCTCTGGTGATGTGTGGATACCCCCCACCCACCCCACCCCGTCCGGCTTCTCCAGTTACAGCGGCAGACATCACCGATAATTATAGCCCCGCCGCGGTCAAGGTGCTGCGCTGTCACACTCAATCACGGTCAGCACGGCGGAAAAAAGGAGCTACAGCCGGGGGAAGACGATTGTGTGTTTGTTATTGAGACCCGGTCGGGTTTTTAAGGGCCGAGCAGCACACAGTAGAGTTTTTTTTATTTTATTTTAGATATCGCCCAAAGAGATCAGACCAACCAGAAACCGGAGCAGTGCTGTGTCACGGGTCTGAGCATCTTTGGTGACGTCACCCTCCGCTGCAAGAGCTCGTTGATTAACAGCCCTAACATACCCACAGGATGAAAAGAGTTTGACGGGAAGCTGGGTATCCGAAGCTTCTTTTTTTACTTCTGTCACTTTGTAACGCAGCAGGAATTAAAAAATAAAAAAAGTCAATGTGAATATTTTTAGAAGGCTTTCTTCTTCCTTAATAATTTGGTGAACACCATCAGAAAGAAACTTGTATTTAGACTAGATACAAACATGGTTACTGTAACTGAACAAACACCTTTTGTTTACAGAACCCTCTGACGACAAAAAGAGAGGAAAGAAACTACTTTTGAGATTAACATGAAAGGGGATCATTAGGGATACGATAGGATCTTGTGGAATTGAGATGGAAACGTCTGGAGTGATTATTAGTCTGTCTCACAGGCAACGCTGAAGGTACAGGTTGAATTGGAATTTAAAAGCTTGTGTGTATTTCATGCATATAATCAATTTTACCATTAGTGTACTTGGGTAATTTGTATGGTTTAAAACAAATAAAAAACAAAATATTTCATCATAATGTTCCCATTATAACATCTCTGAAGTTTTCTTGAGTAAATAGTGTGAAAATATACATACATACATACATACATACATACATACATACATACATACATA